CCATTCAACTCCGACCAAAAAAAAGTGATCTTGGATCATCCAATATATGTGGGCTTTACTATTTTGGAACTTGCAAGAAGTTATTTATATAATTGTCATTATTCTGTAATGAAGAAAATATAGAAAGATAATACGACATCACACGAAGAGAATATATTATCAGAGACGCGGTCGAAATACACATCTAGACAAAGATCCAGACCGAACCCAGATGGACCTACCAGGCAGTCAATGCCATAGACAAATACAACAACGCAGTGGATGGCATAATTGAGGGAGTACACCCCTGGTTCTATTTGAGGACTGAGCGCACACAGTTCACCAATAATTTAAACACCTACGGACCCTGGCAAGACTACTCGTCATTCAAACTATCACATATAGTAGCTCCCGTGATGATGACAGCAGGAGCAGTTATAGGTGTGGGACTGGTTGGATGGGGTATCTACCAAATGGTGAAACGATTCACTTCCTCAGCCTCCTCAGACCTAGTGAACTTTACTATTACCCCAAGCACCACAGCACAACTCTCGCAGCCTACGCTAAACGCCATCGTCCCCAGCGCACACCTGAATACGAACCAAATGTTGTTGCATCTTGCTACAAGCACATCAAAAAGTTTAGATGCCATGTCACTCACACCTTACACAAGAAGTGAGTACGTTGACTCAATCGATGACTCAACTACTAGACAACTAGTACGATACGATACTTACGATAATCTTAACCTTCGTCCTCGGAAACAAAAATCCAGACAAAGGCTTTTTGGTTTTTGAGGCAAAAAAGACTTGAGGAGTGATTCACAAAAGTACTTCCAAAATTAAAACCAATCTCGGTAGTAGTGTTGGATAATGCTCTCTATCATTCGAAGAATGTCGAAAAACTACAAACAAGTGCATGGAGAAAAGGCGATATCCAAGCGTGGTTAACTTCAAAACATTTAAATTTTGAAGAAAAAATGCTAAAAGTTAATTTATTAGAAATTGTGGGTCAGGAGAAATACAAATACCAACAGTGTATTGTAGACGAGATGGCCGCAGCACAAGGCATTACTGTGCTTAGACTGCCACCATATCATTGTGAGCTCAACCCTATTGAATTGGTGTGGGCTCAAGCGAAGGGGCATGTCGCAAGACGCAACAGAAGTTTAAAAATGGCGGAAGTTAAAAAACTATTACTGGAAACTATAAGTAATGTTATTCCTGATAAATGGCAAGAACGTATCAGCCATATAGTCAAAGAAGATAAGATGTGCACTCTCGACGATTTGATTGACACAGTCGCAGACTCTTTAATAATTCATGTCAGCGATGATGTAGATGATGAAGATAGTGATATGAGTATTAATGATGATCAAAGATTTTAATAAAAATATGTTATCTTTACTTGTGAGTTTTTTACTGTTTGTGATGAAAGAGGACGTAATTATCGCTCGCCGTATAACCACTTTTAATGTGGAGCACTGCACTTAATAAAATGGATACATTCGCTAACAAATAAAATGTATGTATAAACTCAGATGTTCAGACTTGTATTGAAATTGAAAAATGTGCCCGGCCAAAAACGTTTGTAATCTCTGACATGTTAAAAAATGATAGCTGTCAGAATTCTACGGAATGAAAAATCAGATTATAAGAAAGCTCACTTCTGCTGAGAGGGGCAAAAATATAACAATCTTGTTTTACATGAGTACTAGCGGCCACTTCATACCGCCATTTTTTCGTCTTCCCTAGGCAAAAAATGAATGATCGACTCTTGATTAATGCTCCGCCCGAAATTATAGGCGAGGCCCAGCCAAAAGGCTGGATGAATACAAATATAAAGACAATCCCGTGTTGCTTCTACTGGATGGTCATTACAGCCACAAGACAACAGAATAGAATAAAATAATTTTTATTCAATATTGGTTACATGTAATTCTTATTGAAAGTAATTTTATCTTTTACCACTGGTTCGGAAAAAACCTCTGTCCTGGGAAGAACCGACAAGAAACCTAGCGGGAATTTTTTATAAAGCTAACTTATAATATTTATTCAATTTTTATGAAAACATTTAGTAAGAGCATGGTAGGGAATAGGGATCACCGCATTCCCAGGGGTTATTATCCATTACGTTCTCTTTAGTAGTATAATAAACCGACACTAAACAATATTTGCTTAATAAATATTTTTAACCTTTTGATAGATAAGCTCTGCATATTTTGTGGTCTGGTCAATAAAGCATTCACAAAACTAGCACGGCTGGATATTGCGAAGTCTGAGTTCAAATGAACGGGTATTTACTTATATGACCGACATTTATTTTCCGATTTGGATTATTTGGCCACTGATATGACCAATGTTCTACTGGAAGAGCCAGGAACTTATTTAAACCGGGCTGCAGTAGGAAGGTTTCCATATCTGTCACTGATTTAGCCTTAGCTGGTCACCCATGTACGATCTACGATGCAGAACAAATCAACAATTTGGTCTCGGATGAAGACAAGGACCCTCCTGAAGAATCTACCAACGAACCAAGAAACAGCAATGCCAAGCCATCGACAAGCTTGAATCCAGATGTTATCGAAATTGTCCATAAATTGTCACCATTGCCAAACGATCACCGGCCCGTAAAAGAAAATATATGTCTAACAACATTCCCATACAAAATTGATGTTGAAGAAAAGGAGAATGAAAAGAACGCTAAACAGGAGAAGATAAGAGTGAAAACTTAAATTCAAAACAGCAAAAAAAAGAGAACTGGCAACAAACCAAAGATGAAGTGAAGAAAAGGGGAAACAAGCCAAAGGAGTAAAGGTCATAGCAAAAAGTGGAGATAAAGCAAGGAGCAAAAGCAGTCACTGCCTCAGATATCTGACGTTGGAAGAACTACTTGCGTAGTGTGCTTAGAGGTCTGCGACGAAGATTGGATACAATGCTACAGCTGCCATGGGTGGGCTCATGTAGCATATGCACATTCCTGAATGTTCAGAGCCTACATATGTGATCCATGCCGAATGTTTTAAAAATATCCGGTGCTAGGGGTTCGAAGTGAAATCCGTCCTATACTATATGCCACTTCCAGCAAATGCATTTTTTGCGCCATTTTTTTGCACCAAAGTTTAATTTCTTTTAAATATGATTATATAAAAGTTGCATTTGTGTTAATTTATGTTCATTTTAAAGTTTGTTGACTTAACTAATTAATAAATATAGTTACATTGTTTGAAATAGATTTTTTTTTATTTCCTGAAAACCTTAGATATCCGCCAATAGGGGACACCTGATGGTAAGAAGTTGCTTTGGCAATCTACATCTATCCTCGATTAAGAATCATAATGCAGATGCGTTGCGACCATTGAGGACTAAGGTGGACTGTTGTAAGATGACTCGTTTCCAGTTAAAAGGGTCTCTGCACGACTGGGGACAAAAATGTTATACCCCGATTATATCCACGGACAAGAGATAAAATTATCTTCTCCCTATGCCAAAGCACGGCAACGGCGAGAAGTATATCCCCGTTTCACATAACGAGTAGACATATATCCCCGTCCGTAGCATGGAGCCAAATGAAAGATAAAAAATTATGCTTTTTGGACATTTAAAAGGGACAATTCTATCCTAGTTATCTACTGTGGATATTATATCCACCGGTGTGACCATGCTCGAAGGGTGGATAAAACGAAGCGAGAGGATAAACATTTTCTCCTTTCACCGGGGATAAAATTGTCTCCTGCCCATGCAAGCCCTGCTGGTTTAGAACACTCGCAATATGAAACACAGCAGCATTAAGCTGCTATTTTACGATGGTGTTCTTTTAGACCGTGGTCCTTCAAGCCGTTTCAAACGCACTACAACCATAATATAGCTGCAGCGTGACTCTATCATGTAGGGCTGTAGGAAAGCACTGGTTTATAATAAGCAAAAAAAAAACAGTTGGGTTAATGTTAGTTTACCACTTTAATGTTGACAAAGGTATAGTCAAATTCTAAACCGTGGTATCCGGGAGCAACCCGGGTTCAATCACCCGCCGGCACCAAAGAAATTGTTAATTGCAATTTTCAGTACTGATTTAACGTGGTGGATGCTAGACGGTGTAGGAAAACATCTTGAGGAAACCTGCAGCTCTGAGAAAGAAGACACGTAAGTTTGCGAACACGTATAGTTGTCACGCGACCAAAGACTTCTATGTTAAACGGGCACTACTGTTCGAATACATTGCTCACTAAGTTACGGTCAATTCTCCTTAACTTTAGCCGACTACAAGCGAGCGAGAAAATTAATTTTTGGTTTTGCAAGCCGCGAACGCAGTTTTCGATAGCTAATTTTGTTTAATTTGACTGAGAAAACGTGATGGACAACGTAATTTGAACTTTTTTTCAGACTAACTTTTCCCCGCAACTACGCCCGCGTGTAATTTTGGGTTTTAATTTTTTTCGAAATAAAAGTAGCCTAAGTTACTCCTTATAACATCAGCTATCTGCCAGTGAATGTCCCGTAAAAATCGGCCCAGCCATTTCGAAGATTAGCCGAAACAAACAGACAGACAGACAAGAATTTAAAAAATTGTGTTTTTGTTATGTGTACTGTTGTAAACTTTAATATGCATTTAGTAAAAAGATGTTATTTTAACATTACAAACAGACACTTCAATTTTATTTATTTGTATAAATAAGTATGTAACTTTATTTCGTATTTGCATAATAACAGTAACAGTCGCAAATGAAAATACAATTGTGTGTACAAACAACGTGCTTGGCATATTTATCATGCCAGCTAACGACAACGTTCTGAATTGCCGGCGTTGTAGTACAGTATACATAGAAACCTTTGCGCGCGACGAACATTTCCTGGCCCTTATTCCCTCGCAGAAAATGAGAGAAAGGAGAGAAGGATTTTTTTTTTACTTTACAGTCGAATTAACATCTTACTCCATTTTTGTACGACATATATTACATCTCTATGAATATAAATTGGCTGGGAAAGTCATGGCAAGCATCATTCATCAGCATCATCCACCCATCACCAACCAAGGACATATTCGTTCCTCTGTCTCGGTACACTATTAAAAAGGTTTTCTGGGTAGTGTGGTGTTGTTTTCTGTTCTTCCGGTTGCTTCTGACTGGGTTCCTCTGTGGACTGGTATATGGGCTCTGTTGACTTCCTTTCTTCTTTTCTCTTTTTACACAGTGGATAGCGCTTGGTTTTAATGTTCAGATGAACCTACACATATAAATAAAACGATGTTGAAAAACAAGGAAGGGTTTGAGTTAGGATTTTTAAGGCGTAGATAGTTTTACAGTGGTAGAGCCACGCGGCAGCTTTTGCTGTCGCACGGATGGGCCGGCTCGAACCGGGGTGGTACCACGACCTCACAGAAAACCAGCGTGAAGTAGAGGTTTACCTCTGCGTTTCGCTTGGTGAGTGCAGGTGGCCGGAGGCCCTTTTTACTGGAAATGAGGCATTCCTCTTAGTCCTCACGGGTGACAACGCATCTACATTTTGATTTGTAATAGAGGATATATGTAGATGTCTATGGGCCGCAGCAACCACTTACCATCAGGTGGACTGTGTGCTCGTTTGTCACCCTTATCCTATAAAAAAAAGGCGTATGGATGACCAGACGAGCACACTGTCCACATGATATACGTGGTAGAGCCATGCTGCAGCTTTATTAGTAGTATAGTTGTAGCACGAATGGGTCGGCTCGACCAGAGTATGACCACGCTCTCACAGAATACCAGCGTAAAATAACAGCTCGATGATGCTGTGTTTCGTATGGTGAGTGTAGAGAACCGGAGACCCTTTTTACTGGAAAAGAGGCATTCCATATTAGTCCTCACGGCTGACAACGCATCTGCATTTTGATTCGCAAACGAGGATAGATGTAGATGTCTATGGGCCGCAGCAACTACTTAGCATCAGGTGAACTGTGTGCTCGTTTGTCACCCAATCCTATAAAAAAAAAACATGACGATAAGCGAATTGTGACCCATGGACATAACGTCCATGGATCACAATTCGCTTACCGTCAGGTTTTTTTTGTTCATAAACAAACAGACAGACAGACAATTCTAGCAATGATAGAAACTTATTTAATTACTTATTTTGAGTACCTCTCCATTCATTTTAGGCACAAAATATGTACAATGTACAGACAACTGCAATTTACATTTTTACTAGCTGGCCAGGCAGACGTTGTTCTGCCCTCTCCGACCCTTTGTCCTATAAAAGAACCTTTAACTTCGTAATAAAAAATATTGCGGGTCAATTATCGGGATAAAAACTGTCCTATCTCTCAAGTTGGACCAAACTGTACACAGTGTGAAAAAATTTCTTTGAAATCAGTACAGTAGGTTAGGAGTTCATCGCGGACAAACAATGTGACAGTTAATTTTTATACATAAATATTATATGTAGAGATTTTAAAACTTGGACTGTGTGCTCGTTTGTCACCTTCTATAAACAAATATCGCTTAAGATCCGTGTAATAAAATAAAATCATGTGTATCGCCTAGTTCAAGGAGCACCTCCCTCCCTCAATCAATTGCGTGCAGTATCCCCGCCACCACTAATACCAACACGGTGATCGGGAGACATCATGTCACTTCGAGGGTGCTGGAGGCAGTAAGGACAGCCCGCGGGACGAGCTTTCAATAAAATTTCACGAACGCACATCGCAGCAGAACTCCCGATACCATCCACACTATCTGGATGATTGGCGGTCCACCACTGTGCGATTTACAAGATGTTTTCTTCCTCGCACGACTTCCTTGTGGAATCGATTACCATCAGCGATTTTTCCGCACCGATACGATTTAGGGACCTTCAAGAAAAGAACCTACTCCTTTTTAAAAGGCCCTTGGTTCCTTGGTCCCTTGGTTCCTCTGGTGTTGCAGTTGTTCATGGGCTGCGATAGTCACTTATCATCAGGTGAGCCGCATCATGCTCGTTTGCCCCCTCTACTATAAAAAAAGCAAAGCGAAGGAGGCCCCAGTTACACTCCAAACTGAGATCCTGGGACCCCTCATATACGCTAATGGTGACCACTGTGGGATTTAACCAGTGAGGATGTTTTCCCCACAATATGAGCGAAAGCACGAAAACGATGATGTGTGAATTAGCCCTTCAAAAGAAGTCGAATAGCAGAATCGAACGTTTTGACCGCTCCGTGGCGCAGTGTTTTAGCAATGGTTTAGTGAAGGCCGCTGGTTCGGATCCCGCACAGAACAAGTATTTGTGTGGCCTATAAATAGTTGTTCCGTGGCTGGATGCTTTTTCTAATATAGGGTGAAACTTATGTATGTAAACTGTTGTTCCACGATAGAGGAGTACATCCTAGTGTGGGGGTAACTTTTTTTTTAAATAAAAGAACTTGAATGAGACATCTCAACATACTTGTGTGTAGTAGGCTCCTATAAACTCACCTGGCGATTATGCTTGTACAAGTTTGACTTCTGGGAGAAGGTCGTGGGGCAGTACTCGCATATGAACGGCCTCTCCCCAGTGTGAGTCCGAATGTGGGACTCCAGCTGGACTTTGGTCTGAGAGGGAAATAAAAAAAAATCACTAGAATTATTCAACATATCTTGTTCTCTACAATTGTTCACTTATAAACACATACAGCATATAAGGAGAAGCCCTTCACAAGTCCACTGCTGAACATAGGCCTCGGGGGCCTTGGGGGAGCCCAAGGAATGCCACAAAGCGCGGTCCTGAGCCACCTGCGTCCATCGACTTCCTGCATGTCTTACCAGGTCGTCACTACATCTAGTACGGGGCCGCCATATACATCACCTACCGGTACGATGCTGCCACTTGAAAACTTTTCTTTCCCATCGGTTGTCGGCTTTTCGAGCTATATGGCCGGCCCACTGCCACTTCAGCTTACTAATTCTTTAGGCTATGTCAGTTACTCTGGTTCTACAGCGGAATAGAATAGAATAGAATGATTTTTATTCAATATAGATTATTACATAATACTTATTGAAAGTTATTTTTTTTTATTTACCACAGGTTGGGAAAATACCTCTGTCCTACCTAACTTCAAATTATATAACATGAATGAAGTAAGTAGAAAAAAAAATTGTTGCATACGGCATTCGTGTACACCACATTTTTGGGTGGGGCAAAGTTCTGTAGAGAATCTGGCATACTCCTTTGTGGAAGAGCACGAAGTGTTGATACAAGTGTTACTCACGACTGGATTAATAGTGTGGTCAAAATTGACAGAAAAATACGCCCCAAGTGACAGGTTTAATGCTGATGAAGCAGGTATTTTCTATAAGTTGACCCCCAGGTAAAACTCTGAAATTTAAAGGGGAAAAGTGTGTGGGAGGAAAGCTCTACAAGGAGTGTATTACAGTGCTTGTGGGTACTAATATGTATGGCACAGAGAAAAAGAAGCCGATGGTAATAGGCAAATCGAAAACTCCGCGGTGTTCTAAGAACATTAAACCATTACCTGTGACTTATACAGCTAATAAATCAGCTTGGATGACCAGTCAAATTTTTGAAGAAGAACTGCGAAAGTGGGAAGCAGAATTATAGGGACGAAAAATTTTACTTCTTGTTGACAACTGCCCTGCCTCTTATATCAAACCTTCAAAACATACGAGTTTGCATTTCTTCCTCCAAATACGACTAGTGTTTTGCAGACAATAGATCAAAGCGTGATTAAAAGCCTCAAGGGTCACTACAGAATCTGTTGGTGAAACTTCTATTAATATGCTGCATGCAGTAAATTTTTTATCAAAAGCCTGGGAAGAAGTGACACCCGTAACTATACAGCACTCTTTTGGACATGCTGGACTTTGTACAAGTTCTACGAGTGATGAGGTGGAAACGGAACCGGAGTTTGATAGCAACAACGACCTTCCATTAAATTACTGGATTCAACAATTCAACATGGCAGAAAAATTTACATAAAATCTTCAAATCTACATCGAAGTAGGCGACTGCCTGCTTACAATGGGCTCTACTCACAGACAAAGAAATTTTGGATTCGGTAAGAAAAAAACTGAGGTCCATATTGTTTGAAACAATTATCTCCCCCTAGATAATAAATAACAAATAGTGTCCTCTGAATCGAAATGCGACCCCGATCTGCTCAAGACATGATTATAGTGAACGAGTGTATGTGCAAGCACAGGTGCAGTCTCTATTCCCTCACTCTCATAATCCCATGGGACGGTAACCCGACGCGGCCGGAGAGACATCAGGCGCAGACCAACGGCTTTACGTGCTTTTCGAGACACTGGGGTGAGACACAGCCAATTTTCTGACTCCAGGCTGCTACCACTGGACTAACCTACCTAGTCAATATCATATTGTATACATATTATACGTACCGGAAACCCTTTGCCGCAGTAGTGGCACATTTTGTTGTTGGGCCGGCTCTTGTGTACATAACGAATATGCTGATCTAGGCCCACGCGGTTCTTCGTCGCCTGGAAAAGATATGAACTTGATTTTTTTGTGCTTTGTTGCCGAAGGTCACTCCACCTTCGACAGTACTATATCTAGACACAAAATAGCAGTGTAAGGCTGGTACGAAAAAGAAAACGCGAACTATTTCGAACGACTTTCGAAATTCACTTTGTCTGTCTCCCTCTCCTCATTCATTTCAACTACATGTACATACTACCGAAGCAACTCTTTCTTAATAATGGTCAGAAAAACGTCTTGCAAGTCTTTTCTCTTATCATACATTTTTCATTTCTCGCAACCTATCATTCAAAATGTGTATTGCGTGTTATAACATGACACAAATTGATGAAGAGCTATTTAAAGTTGTGAGATCTTTCTAAAATTTCTAGGGATAATTTATATGGATGGTTTTATGCCGCAAACAGACTGCAGAATAGAATAGAATATTTTTTATTCTATATAGATTACAAGAATACTTATTCGAGTCATTTATGCTTTCTTCCTCTGGCCTGGGAAGACGGAGCAAAAACCCAGCGGGACATTTTTTTAAAAAAGACCGGACAAGTGCTAGTCGAACTCGCGCACCGAGGGTTCTGAACAATTCCGTAGGTATAGTAAGTTTAAAATTATTAAAAATATTTTTATTATATGATGTAACTAAAATTTATGCTTTTTGCAATTTTTCCTTTATCTGTGCTATAAAACGTTGCTTCGTACCAAATTTCAAGATCCTGAGTTCACGGGAAGTACCCTGTAGGTTTTGATTCCCTTGCGAATGTCGAAAATTTGCGGCATAAACGGCTCTTCTTGATTGCGTTTCTTTTGAAGTATGGGAACATTTGGAAACAGCATCATAGCATAATTATCAATAATGTAATTTGGTGACTTACCTTATTACAAATATGGCAATGGTAAACTTTGTGTAGATGCTTCTCCTCAATATGGTCCCTCAGCTTGGTCTTGTCCGCGAAACGCTTGTTGCAATGGTCGCAAATAAACCTGGGGACAGGATTATAATATAATTGCCCTCATATTTTTTTTTATAGGAGAAGGGGCAAACGAGCATGCGGCTCACCTGATGGTGACTACCGCCGCCCATGAATAACTGCAACACCAGGGGAATTGCAGATGCGTTGCCGGCATTTTAAAAAGGAGTAGGCTCTTTTCTTGAAGGTCCCTAAGTCGTATCGGTTCGGAAAAATCGCTGGTGGTTATCAATTCCACATAGAAGTCGTGCGAGGAAGAAAACATTTTCTAAATCGCACAGTGGTAGACCGCCAATCATGCAGATGGTATGGATGGTATTGCGAGTTTTGTCGCGATGTGAGATGTTGAAATTGAGCGGCTGGAATTAGTCCGAACAATTCCTCAGAGCACTCCCCGTGGTACATGCGATAAAATACGCCAAGAGATGCATATTGAATAAGGGTGACAAACGAGCACACGGTTGTTTTTGGCTCGACCGGGGAAGGCCCACGCTCTCTCAAACACCAGCGTAAAATAGCAGCTCAATGCTGCTGGTTTTCATATACTGAGTGTAGAGAACATTCCATCTCAATCCTCAGGGGTGACAACGCATTTGCATTGTCATTCCTAATAGAGGATAGAGATGTAGACGTCTATGGGCCACAGCATCCATTTACCGTCACGTGGACTGTGTGCTCGTTTGTTACCCTTATTCTATAAAAGAAACATTTCACTATCGGCGTTAGCGATTGTGGAAAAACAAAATTGCTAATCCCGCTGTTATGTTACATAATATTTAAAACAAATAAATAGAGTCTCACTTGAGCTGGTCCCTCGTGACGTGCTTCAAACTGTTTCGCAGATGGCGTCGATACGAACAGAGGGAAGAGAACTCGATACCGCAAGTCGCACAGAAAGCTTCTCCCCCACCGGCAGTTCCCTTTGCCTGTAAGTAACGATAACATAAATGTCTTAACGTGGTAGAGCCATGCCGCAATTATATTATAGTTGTAGTACGAGTGGGTCGACCGGGATTGGCACGCTCTCACTGAATACCAGCATAAAATAGCTGTTTAACGCTGCTGTGTTTCGTATGATGAGTGTAGAGAACCGGAAATACTTTTTACTGGAGACGAGGCATTACATTTTAGTCCTCAGGGGTGACAACTCATCTGCATTTTATATGTAGATGTCTATGGGGCACAGCATCCACTTAACATCAGGTAGACTGTGTGCTTGTTTGTCACCCAATTCTATATTTAAAAAAACTGTCAGCATTCTTTTGCTTTTCTATATAAAGTGGTTTGCAGTTGTGCGCGCATCACGGAAAAACTACCGGATAGATTTCAATTAGGTTTTCTAATTTTTATTTTTTAAACATTTGGCACTAACTTAAAAAAACATTATTGCGATATCTTCCTTTAATATAAAGTTATTTAAGTTTTAAGGAACAACGATTTTTATACGGGGTTTTTCACACGGTCAACTGTACGTCGCTTGCTCTTGGGTTGCTAATCCAGATAATTTATATATTTTACCCACAAAGGGAGCAACGAATAACATTGTTTACAAAGAAATTTTGTCTTTTGACATTTTTTCCTTCGCACATATGAAAACTTTGTTAATATATCCAGCAACGCGGACGAAGCCGCGGGTATCAGCTAGTCTGTCATAGTATTATGGTAGTTTTTTAAAAGACAATACGTTTTTTCCCTGTACCGTGCAGGCAGTTTACATACATTAATTTCACAAAGACAAACATCCAGACCCGGAACAATTAATTGGAGGCCATACAAATGCTATTTCCGCGCGGTATTCGAATCCGTGGCCCTCAGCGCCGTGACTCATTGATAAGCCACTACGCCACGGAGCCATTGATTAAAAAAAAAAACGGTGTGATTGCCATCAGAGCTACACAATCGCAATACTGAAATCAAGTCAACCAACCTTCAAGTCGTGCTTCTCTAAATGCCTCTTGAGACTGGTCCTCCATCTAAACACCTTGTCGCATATAGTACAAGGGAACGTGTTTTGTAATTCGTGTACAGCTCTGAAAACAAACCAAAGGTAAATGAAGACTCTTTCAGACTTTTATAATTAATTTATTGAATAATAGGTATATATAGGTATGTGTGTGTATGTGCGTATGCATGTCTACGTGGATCGTGCGTGTGTGTGTGTGTGTGCGCCTGTATGTGTGCACATGTGTGTACGTATTATTTTGTACGTGATATTACATAACTTGTAAACGTACATGTATGTATATTTTCGTAGGTGTGTGTGTGCATGTTAGAGTGAGCATATTGAACTTATGTACCGACAGGCGATGGTTCATGAGTCCTGCGCGGTGGCTGAACGTCTTGTCGCACTCCGGGCACTGGACACGCGCCTTGTGACTGTCGCGGTGATAGCGGTGACTGTCGATCGAACTGTGGACCAATGGAGATTTACAAATAAATATATACATATGTAGATTATGTAGTCCGCTGGTGTTGTATGCGCGATAAATAATCTTAAAACCTTTAGTAAGCGCGTGTTTGCCCCCGAGGTAACAATAATAAATATAAACAAACAATAAGAGCAGAATCATGTTGTAAAGGATAAAGAACTCCTTTTCTTCTTCGGAGACCGTCTAGGCAGGTAGACACTCTTACTCAAATATCAATTCTTATACTGCTCTGTTGGCCAGATTGGTTACAGGCTGTGAGACATTCCATCTTAGTCCTGTAATGGTGGCTAACCTTAGGCCTTAGAGCTGTAATATTAATGATAAAAAACAATATCACCACCAAGTCCACTGCTGAACATGCAGACACTCCCAAGAAACGCCAAAAGGCATGGTCCTGAGCCTCCTGCATCCATCGACTTCCTGCTTGTCGTACTATATCGTCACTCCATCTAGTGGGGGGCTGCCCTACACCTCGCTCACCGTAAGAGTTTGATGTCATTCTACCTGGAACTCATCGTCTTGATCAGCATACGTACTTGGATATCTTCCCACACAGATTGCACTGGTACTCCTTCAAGGATATCTCGTGTGTGGAAAAGTAATGTTGTTCGATCGCCTTCTTGTCCATGGTCCGCTTGCGACAAATGATGCACTCATATCTGGATCAAAGAAATAAACACTATAAAGGATGACCGCTAAGGTGTGGGTTTTAATCAGTAAATACAGAATGTATAATACATAGGGTGTGTTCCGATATACACAGTGACCACTGTAAGGTGTAAAGTCAATTCAATATACTGAGAAGCCGTTTCTTTTTAGTTTGCTATACTGGTTACTGTTTAAAACGGAACACAAACAAGAAAAATTATTAATTGAATGTTGTTGCTTTTAAAACTTAATGTCCGAGTTTATTTGAATAACAATATTAATTAATAATAAAAATAACAATCATTCGTGGAAGCTGTAAAATCTTTAGGCGCTGTTATATTTTTTGATCACGTGATTGATCAGTGTACTGAGAGCACCTTACCTCGAAAGCGCCAGTGCTCACAGTACAAAAATGGCGGCGATTTATGAGGTCATTTATTTCTCTAGGGTAGTATACGTACGTATAGTGCGGCAGTATACTGGCGGTCCATATCGGAACGAATTTTTCACCAGTGCTCTTAGTGTATATCGGAACATACCCATTGTATGGGCTTAGAGCTTAAAATGTCGATGTACGATAATCCATCACGCAATTTAATCCCATGGGTGTCATGAGAATGATAATTAAACTATAGAAATCTAGAAAACCCTCGACTCTTATAAATGACAAAATACACATAATCGTCATCATCATTAACACTTTCACTGTCCGGTTTTCAGACACAATAGTAAGACAATAACAATGACCTATATGTAGTGCCCGGAACAGCGACAGGGTTAAAACCTATGACAAATCCACTGCTGAACATAGGCCTCCACCAAAAAACGCCAAAAAGTACGGTAGTGAGCCACCTGCATCCATCGACTTCCTGCATCTGTTACCAGGTCTTCAGTCTAGTGGGAGGCCACCCTTAACTCCACTTGCCAGCACGAGGCTGCCATTCGAGAACCTTTCATCCCCATTGGTTAGCGGACCTAAAGCCAATTCAGCTTACAGATCCATTGTTAGCTATGTTGGTTACTTTTTATTTTATACTATAACACAGTGGTAGAGCCACGCGGCAACTTTTGCTGTCGCATGGATGGGCCGGCTCGAACCGGGGTGGTACCACGACCTCACAGAAAACCAGCGTGAAGTAGAGGTTTACCTCTGCGTTTCGCTTGGTGAGTGCAGGTGGCCGGAGGCCCTTTTTACTGGAAATGAGGCATTCCATCTTAGTCCTCACAGGTGACAACGCATCTACATTTTTATTTGTAATAGAGGATAGATGTAGATGTCTATGGGCCGCAGCAGCCACTTACCATCAGGTGGACTGTGTGCTCGTTTGTCACCCTTATCCTATAAAAAAAAAAAAAAAAAAAAAAAAAAACTAAATATAAAACTTTAAAAAGTATTTTTACCTTCTGAAATGTCTCTTGCAGTGCTCAGTAAACGAGTCTACGGACGATATGACAGTGTTGCATATAGGGCAGCTGTACTTTCCCAGATTCTGAAAATAAAATTCTTTAGGTTAGTTTGGGCAATGTACACGCTTTTACAACAAAATCCCTGAACATATATTAACTTTGGCATCGCAATATATTTATGAAAATGTAATGTGTGTACATAAAAACAAATAGCTTTAATAAGTATAAACATGTGCATACTTTAAACACTAGGAACAAACATAAACTTGTTATGCCAGTTACTAGACTCCACAGAATCAGTAATTCATTTATGGGTCAATGTATACGCTTTTACAACTAAATCCCAGAACATATTCAAAGTTTGTCAATAAACAAGTTTAAAAGTTTTATTAAAGAAAAACTGTACAAAAAAGGTTATTATAATATCAAGGAATACATGAATGAAAATAACCCCTGGGAATAAGGTGATCGCCATCATGCTGGTTCTATTAAAAATCATTTAAAAATTGTATAAACGAAATTATTGTTAAGTGAAATATGTGTGAAAAAAAGTCCCGCTGGGTTTCTTGCTGGTTCTTCCCAGGACTGAGGTATTTTCTAAACCAGTGGTAAATAAAAAATTACTTTCAATAAGTATTATGTAATAATCAATATTGAATAAAAAATTATTCTATCCTAGTCTATTCTCTCTTTTGGGAATGGTTTGTGTTGTCTTCGACTACTTTCGAGTACTATCCAAAGACAAAAATTAACTCAACAAGTTTTTACTAGGTGGTAGATCTCGTTTCCCAATTAGAGATTCTCTGCACTTCTATTTTCCAGTCTGAAGGTTATAGAGACTCAATGATAAAGAGACTTTAAGGCGTTCAATTTTAATCATTAGAGGCAATAACACATCCGTAGCTTTTTTTCTTGTTTCAAATTGGTTGCATGTGCCAATGGCAACTTGACAATCACTGTACCAGATGTATGTATGACGTATATAACCGTCATACATACATCTGCCAACATCTATTAATAGAAATAAGATCATGTTTTTTTTTCTGTTTTTCAACTGTTATATGCCAGTCCTTGACTACAATCCCACCTGTTTGGTAAGTGGCGATGTATCCACCAAAGATGGTAAAGAGTAACGACTTAGTTTGACAAAAGCCTATTTACTCTTGCCTTGAAGACATTTACATGGTAATCAGATAGAAGGATATCTAGATACTGGCAAGTTATTTCGTTTCATTGCTAGGCGCATTGCAAATGACAAAGCAAACCACTTACGTATGTGCGAAGAGAATAACACCAAAAAGATTGTAAGCAAAACTATACTGGCAGCACTATAGTGGCGGTTCCGTGGCGCAGTGGCTTAGCAATGAGTCACAACACCTAAGGGCCGCGGGTTCGAATCCCGCACGAAAAAAGTATTTGTATGGCATACAAATAATTGTTCCTGGTCTGGATGTTCGTGCTTGTGAAATGTATGTAAATTGCCCACACTATACAGGAGAAAATCCTAGTGTGGAGGTAAGGTTTTAAAAATAAAATAAAATAAATAAACACTTTGCTTACAAAAATTCTTTCTTAACAATGCATTTGAATTTAATGCTTATAAAATTCGTTGTTTCCTAAAACTTTTATATTTTTTTAGATAAGGGCAAAGTATCTAAGAAATAGAACTTAGAAAACCTAATTGAAATCTACTCAGTAGCACAACTGCAAACATTTTTCATTTTATTTATATACATATAATCGACATTCTTATGCATCCAAACTAAAAATTAGAAACCATGATATTAATATCAGTTGTTTTAACTGATTGCCTGCAAAAACAATTATAATTATAAATAGAGTTTCAAGATTATTTATTTAAGTTACTTATTTATTTAAATCAATCCATATGGCTAACATAACACATTCCAAAACGTCAACAAACATTCTTGAAATAAATTTACATTAAAATAGATGATACAATAATATAAAATTAAAAAATTTGTACAACCGACTTCAATATAAATTATTAAGAATAACTCAAAAAGTATTGGTCAGACCCTAATTCAATTTATATGGCACCACATGTGAAGTGCCAGTTTCAAATAAAAAAAAAGAATCATCGAAATCGGTTCACCCAGTAAAAAGTTATGAGGTAACACACATAAAAAAAACATCAGTCGACTTGAGCCCGTGTCCTTTTTGAAGTCGGTAGAAAATAGAAATTGAGTACCATATTAAAATGTCAAATAGAATTCGTTTTCATCTTGTTTTCACACATAAAGCAACAAGCTTAACATACAATATAATTGGTAATTGTGCCACATAGTACAAAATTAAAAATTAAATAACAAAACAATTAAAAACTAAACATTGAAAACTTACCGGTGAATGTTTGTTGGCTATATGACTTTTATATGCCTTGCTGTTATTGAAGCCAATGAGACAAGTTTCACACTTATATACAGCTTTAGAGAATGTCTCTTTGGATGATTCCTTCTGTCTTTCCAGAAGCATTTCCTCATAGCTCAACTTCACTGTCAGTATCTTCTTCTCCGGGTCAACTTCTTCACTCTTTTTGACCTGGTAATAGGGAACGATTGAATATAATTAAACAATTTGTAAATGTCTTATATCTACGACACTACATGTGGTAATCCAGCCGACCCATTCGTGCTACAACTACATGATAGTTGTAGCACGAATGGGTCGGCTCTACCGGGGAAGGGCCACGATCTCACAGAATGCCAGTGTGAAATAGCAGCTTTGTGCCACTGTGTTTCTGTGTACAGAACCGGATACCATTTTTACTGGATACGAGGCATTTCATCTTAGCCCCCAGAACTGAAAATGCATCTTGCATATTGATTCTAAATCGAGGATAAATGTAGATGAATAGGCCACAGTAACCACTTACCATCAGATGGACTGTCATGCTTATGCTATAAAAAAAAAACTAAATGCAGTGATAACAAGCTAGGTGAAGAAAAATTAATTAAAAATTGTCAATAATTCAGTCCTTTTTATCTTTTATATTAAAAATGCGTGGTAATGCTTTATTTTAACTGATTGGTCGATCGGTAGGCAAAAAGTTGTTGAATTTTAGATAATTTCAAATAAAATTAGAAGCCTTATTTACTCGTATTTTTAAAAAGTGCAACAACGGTATATCATTATTTATATATTTGAACTTGAGTTTAAAATTTGGTTACTCTTTGAAAAATATCTCTGTATATAACAGTCTTGCTAAAACTCAAAAACTGCTGGACTGATTTTAATGAGATTGCTTGTATGTGTTTGAATTGGTCCCTAGATAGTTTAGATTTACATTTGGACCCGGCAGGTAGCCCTGTTATCGAGAGCCAGATATCATCAGGGACGGATCAAGATAATTATCACGATGATTATCCCGTGCAACCCTGGTAACTGTTACCAACCACCATTTAGCACCTTTGTACTCACGTCTGCTTCTGCAATATCAATCCGCCTATCAAACGTGATAATCAAGGCAAATCCTAACTATAATGTTAGAGGCCTATGCCCTTATTTACTTCACTTTTACGGGTTGATGACAGAGAAAAATTGAAATTTACCTTGTTATGTTTCCGCTTCACGGTCTTCTTTCCCTTTTTAACCACAGCCTTTAAATTACTTTTGACTTTCTTTCCAACTTTCTTCGTTTTGAGGAATTTCTGCAAGTTCGACTCGAGTTCTGTGTCTGAACAGTCCGAAGTTGGACAGTCTCTTTGGTCCGAGTCCTCTTCTATATCTGAAGTAATCATGATTTATGAAAAAATACGCTGACACAGGCCAATAGACTAATAGATCAGTGATCTGCTATAAAAAAGGTTATTGAATAGGTTCTTTGTATTGGTAATCAGTGTTGGTCCGTCAGAGCCTGGCCCCACCCCGGTTGAACTGACCCATTCGTGCTACAACCATAATATAGCTGCAGCATGGCTCTTAAACGTAAAAAAAAAGATTAGAGAGCAGCAGTTACAGGTTACCACGTAAAAAAAATAGATTAGAGTTAGAGGTAGAAAGGCGACCTGATGAAACACGCAAGTAGTTAATGGATGCAGGTGGCTCATGACCATGTTTTGTGGTAATCCAAGGGAGTTAAAAAAACTATAGTAGCCAACCTGCCTGCCAGTTGTGGTGTGGTGTAGTATAGTGTAGCCGCCACGACAATAGCTATAATTCGATGCAATTAGTTTCTTAGGTGGCATTATGTAAAAACATTAAATAAAACTATTTTTTTCACGGGGGAGGGGGGGGGGGGTTCATGGGTTGCTGTAAAGCACCCAAAATGTCGGGAATTAAAATAGTAAATTAAACGCGATAAAATCCGTAAAAAAATAGTTATATTCAATGTGCAGTGCTCGCGTAAATAAAAGAAATCATTATGCCTAAAGTTATACGGCGAAATATAGTTGGAAGCTGGCGAAACGTAATCTATAATGAAGTATGCAACTTCGCTACGCGGTCGAATTAAGTATCATAAAGAATTAGTTGCATTAATGATGAACACTAAAATGTTAATTTCCGTAGGAAATTATATGGCTATTGAATACGAACATAAGGATTAAATTTATATATGAATAAGGGATGTAAATTAACAGTATGTGCAATAATTATGATTAAAAGTTGATGAAGCAATGTCCTACAACAATAAAGGATTTAAAAAACAGACAAAAACTCTATTATCTTTTTATTGTATATGGTGACAAAGGACCACACAGTCCACCTGATGGTAAGTGGTTACTGTGGCCCAAAGACAATCTACATCTATCCTCGTTTGCGAAGCAAACTGCAGATGCTTTGTCACCCGTGAGGACTAAGATGGAATGCCTCTTTTCCAGTAAAAAGGGTCTGCGGTTCTCTACACTCAACATACGAAACAAAGCAGCATTAAGCTGCTATTTTACGCTGGTATTCTGTGAGAGCGTGGTCCTTCCCCGGTCGAGCCGACCCATTCGTGCTACAACTACACTACTAATATAGCTGCAGGATGGCTCTACCACTACTAGAAGAGAGAGGGAGAGTTTTATAATTAATTTAAAAAATTATAATAAATACATATATCGCTTATAGTACATACAGGTATCGCTTATATATAAATATAGTCTATAATTATGGTCAGTAACCATTACCAGTACCAGTAACCAGTCACATATTAAGGTCTATTTAGCGTCCTAATAAGGACGGATGGTCAAGATCAATCCGGCGAGAAGTGACCACAGAAAATGGACACGCCAGTAACGTGAAGTTTCTTCGACAAAGATTTCGTGGACTGTATTGGTACATACAACAAGCAGAGCGAGGAAAGGGCTTAGCTTTCCATTGACTCCCGTCGAGTTGGGGATTGATACGTATTTTTACAGAAAAGTTACACTATTATAAGCACGCACACAAAGTTACAACATGCGGAAACGCGTAAACGATAATTACTTTAAACATGTACGTGTAACACAGCCTAAATGTGAGGACATAACTAAAACCTAAGTTTGATACTGGCACATTAACATGTTATTTTTAATCGCGATCTATCGATATACTTTTGGACCTTATCTTTACATCATGCAAATGATGACGATATATCGATATTTATTACGCGCTATATATCGATACTGTTTAAAATATTGATTCGATATATATCGATATTTTTTTCTCTTGCCCATCCCTAGCAACTGCCTTTCCTTGAGTCGCAGACGCAGTACGTGCATAAAGGAAGGATTAGGGAAACGGATTAAAGATATGTACCGAGTATTTTACTAGATTTATAAATCAAACTAGCTGTTCCCCGCGACTTCGTCCGCGTGTTGGGTTATAATTTTTTTTCGCGGAACCCTAATTCTTTTTCTAAAATAGAAACAGCCTAAGTTAGTACTTGTGACATTAGCTATCTGCCAGTGAAAATCCCGGCAAAATCGGTCCAGCCGTTTCGGAGATTAGCCGGAACAAACAGACAGGCAGACGGACAGACAGACAGACAGACAAAAACTTTAAAAACTGTATTTTTGTTATTAGTAACGGTACTAATAACATATATACTTTCATATGCATTTAGTTAAAAACTGTAATTTTGACATTACAATCAGACACTTCAATTTTATTCATTTGTATAGATGTATAGATATAGATTGTTATCTGGCGTTCCCGGCAATTATAATGCAATATTAAAGAAAGTTACATTTAGGGCACAAGTTTGTGGTAGAGCCCCGCTGCTGCAGCTATATTAATTGCATAGTTGTAGCACAAATGGGTCGGCTCGACCGGGGAAGGACCACGCTCTCACAGAATACCAGCCTAAAATAGCAGCTTAATGCTGCTGTGTGTCCTCGTTTGTCACACTTATCCTATAAAAAAATAATTATTGTTGATTTTTTAAAAACCGCTGGACCGATTTCAATAAAATTTAAACGGGACCACCTGGGATGTATACCATTTGAAATAAGAAAAGAATTATCCAAATCGGTTCAGGCGTCATTGAGTAATCAGTGAACATACATAAAAAAAGATTTTTGATTCGCCGAATTAAAAACCCGCTCCTTTTTTGTCAAGTCAGTTGAAAAAGGTTACGTATTTTGGACTATTGATGACAAATAACATAAATATTAAATACTTGATGACGTATGTTAAATTTTTAATTTTTATTATTCGCCAGCTGGAATATAATAATTAAAAAAGTTTGATCGACTTCGAAAAATTTAAAAAATAAAAAAAAACTAAAAAAACTCATCACACTGGTCACGAAGATTAAAAATTAACTTAGGTATTTAAAAAATCAAGTTCAGTCTTATCAAACAAAAGATCATTTTCCTTTGTGTCATCAGTGAGTTCACAGCACCGTGTTGGTCGGCTCGGGCGAAGGGTCCAAAGTACTTTTATTAAACAAGTGTTTAAAACTATAATTTGCCGATTCATTTTACTTGTATACATAATAGAATATAATATAGTACAAGTTAGGTTGAATTAAGTTATCATCATAGTTCCACGTAATTGCAATCGTTCCCATAAACAAACTTTGGAATTCAAAACAAAAGTGCCACAAATGACTTACGCTGCTCGGGTTGCAATTTGTATTTTGATCTGTCTGTTGTTATCGTACTGCTGACGACTTATGTTATTTTTCTACCGACTTCAAAAAGGAGACGGTACTCAATTCGACTGGGTTTTTTTTATGTGTGTTACCTCATAACTTTATACTGGATGAATCGATCTGGATGATTCTGGGGCCCCCGCTAAGTCGAGCAAAAAAGCGGCACGGCCGTACCATCCTTTTCTCGAAGCAGTTCAGACCATTTTGGAAATCCTATAACTTTGTTGTGGATAACACTAGATGCCTGAATTAACGGTAACCAAGTAGGCATTGTATAAACTCGGTATATTTCAAATTTTATTAAAATTAAACCAGTAGTTTGAGAATTATAACTAGTCAAAGTTTCTTAATTTTGTCACTCACTGACTAACCGATCATCAAAACTAAGGCACTTCTAGCAGACATAGACTTCAAATTTGGAATACAATTATTGTTTAGTATATAAATGAAGGAAAAATTAAAATATTTTGCAATTTCAGTCCAGTTTTCGAGATACACCAACTGCATAAATAACTTTGTAATCCCATATAAATATATAGGATTACAAAGTTACATTTGCAGTGAATGAATCAGTGTACCTATATATGTATAATGGAATAATAGGTGTAGATAGGTACGTAGATATAAATCTACAAAAAGAAATGAGATGCCATCAAAAACATAACTTGTAAAAAAACTTAGTCTCGCAACTCAGTTCTACCGTAAAAAGTTGTGAGATCCATGTAATACCAAGTCGGTTAATTTATTCAGTCCCTACTTAAGGGTCCTTCTGTCTTAAGTTATTACGTAATTAGCTCACCTAACAACATCTTATAGTGACCATATCAATATTAAAAATCTTTTATGTTTATCTTTTATTAAAGTTAATACCATACTTATAAAGTGTAAGTGTTAGTGGAGGGGTTCCGGGAAGGCAAAACAATTGAGTTACCTTAGTATCATATAAATATTAAAGTCAATATTTGTCATAATTTATAAGATGGTAACATTACTCAAAAACAAAATTAGGGTTCCGCATAAAAAAATTTGATATCCATGAAATCGTAGTAGATTCCACGCGGGCGAAGTCGCGGGGCACAGCTAGTTGATAATAATAATGGCACACCAAGTTTGGATTTGCATCGATCAGAGATTAAACATTATATTAGTTGTATTGTAACAAACCTTTCTTGTCATATTCAACATTCACTTCCTCCTTCACGCATACAATTTGTAATTCTTTTGGTTTATCCATTTCTAAATCGTCAATATCTAAGGATTTTTTATTATTGTCATTTGAAGATGAATTTGTAACCTCTTTCTTGTTTTTTAAATTATCCTGCAAAAAGGTTTTTTTATTAGTCTAGTAGTCTCCAGTTTTCTAGACTTAACATACAAAACACAGCACTGTTAAGCTGTTATTTCATGCTGGTATTCTGTGAAAGTGTAGTCCTCTCCATTTGAGCTGACCCAATCGTACTACAATTCTAATATATCTACAGCATGGCTCTCCAATATATAAAATGAGGAAAATAACCCGTAGCAAACTAAACAAAACTAATTAAAGTACTGGCAGTTGCAGGGGCCCATGGACTGCAGTATCCACTCACCATTAAGAGTAGACTATGAATTCAAATTGTCATATAACTAAACATCTAAATCTCTCCAGCATTAGATTAAGAATATTGAGAGATGTTATTTAATGAGTTTAAGTTAATTCTTGACTACTATTCTACTTGATCGTAAGAGAACTGGAGACTTTTGTAAGAGTAACCAAGCGTTCTATCTTAATACTGAGGGGTGACAATGTATATACTATCTTATCTTGATTTTTAAGCAATGATAGATGTAGGTGTCTATCAGTAAACATCAAGTGGACTGTGCACGTCACCCTAACTTCTATAAAAAATTGCACTTAAGGTTATGGCAACATAACAACAATAAGGTATCCTAATCATATATTAGCAAGTTCTTGCATGGAATATCAGTATACTATCTTTTTGCTATCGACTTCCAAAAACGAGACGGTACTCAAATTGACTGTATGTTTTCTTTTTATGTGTGTTACCTCATAACTTTTTACTGGGTGAACTGATTTCGATGATTCTTTTTTTATTTGAGAGCTAATACTTCACATGTGGTCCCATATGGATTTGATCAAGGTCAGACCAATAGTTTTTGAGTTATTCTTAAGACTTATATTGAAGTCGGCTGTACAAAATTTTAAATTTTAAATTATATATCCACTACTGAACAGATATTGTGTTTTGATTTGAAGGTAGTACTCTTATAGGTGGTAGAGCCATGCTTCAGTTATACCATAGTTGTAGCACAAATGGATCAGCTCGACCGGGGAAGGACCACATTCTCACAGAAGTAATCAGAGTAAAATAGCACCTTAATGATTCTATATTTTGTATGGTGAGTGAAGAGAACTGGAGACCATTTTTACTGGATACAAGGAATTCCATCTTAGTCGTCAGGAGTGACAACGCAGCTGCATTTGGATTCTTAAACGAGGATAGATAAACAGCATCCACTTACCATCAGGTGGGCTGTGTGCTTGTCAACCTTATTCTATAAAAAAGCAGTATTAAATCAGGCTAGAATACCATCTTATTTCATAGTAGTAACAAGGCATCCATACCCTTCTTTTGTACAGAAACATTGTCATAGAGAAACTACTTTTTAAAAAAGGTTATAAACTTTACATCACTGAGATGCCTCTGCAACCTGATCTCTAGTTCTTCATCCGAGCTGTCTGAGCCTCTCATTGGACTGTCCATACTTCCTCTATTGGTTCCAGCAACTTGTGCATCTATAAAAAAAGTTTACAACACTATAAAACAGTAAAGTAACATTCTCTGAACATCCCGCAACTAAGCACAGAACTTCTTCCATTTCAGAAAGCATAACAAAGCAGAGAAATGTCAAACACACTAATATATCACATGTCATGGCACAAAATATATAAACCACTAACATATTGATAATTGGAGTTTTAAAATAACCATTATACCACAAACCATAGCAGTGCCTGCACTGTTGTCTTATTTTTTGAAGGGTACAGAGACTCAGTATAGTTACGGACTGTGAGACATTCCTCCTTAGTCCGCAGAGATGACAACGTAACTTTAGTTTGCCTCGTTTGAAGTTGTCTGCAAGTTTCCATGAATTGTAGTAGCTATTTACCATCTGGTGGACTGTAAATTTGTGTCATTTCAGTTTATAATTAATATTAAATTGAAAATTTAAAAAACCAAAAAAAAAGAGCTGATGATGTTCTAACGGCTGAAAAGATTTCCTTGAATCATAGCTAAGAACACTCTTGATCAAGTCACCTTTCAAACAAAGAAAACTAAATCTAAATAGGTTCTTCCTTTAAGGAGCGACCAGGCCACAGATAGACACACAGATACACACATTAAACATACATACCCGCCTTTTTTTTTGAGGTTTTAAAAGAAAGAAAACACATAAAATAATGGCAATATTCATTTTACGTTACCTTTTTCTTGTGCCTCGATTTTGGGTTCATTCTTGACATTGGCTGAGTACACTCTGGGAGGCTGTTCAACTTCATCCTGAACATCCTTACTTGTTGTCACATCAATTGAGTCAATGACACACACTTTTAATCTTGGTGGTCGAGAGACATCTGTCAGAAGACATTCTGCCAGATTCTGTATACGATAAAATATGTACTGCTTTTTTTGGTTTGCTTCTGAATACATGTATTTGTGTAGTTGATTTCTTCTATTTTAATTAAATGATTTAATTAATCTTCTGCTCATTCTGATTAAAATCATAAACTGAACATAACAATGTCTTCAGACTTTTACGATAAAATGAGCAGATTTCATATACTAATACATTATTATAATAATAATTCAAAGTCAAAACCAAGCTTCGAAGTCTATAGGCTAATAAAAACAATCATATTAAAGATGTTAAAAATGAAATAGCTAAGATCAGCAAAATATGGAGTGCCTCATCTCACTGTCTGAATATGGACCCAACCAAATGGATGCCCTGGGCAGGAGAGCCCGAACAGCCGAGGATTAAGGGGAAAGGGAAAGAAAGGTGAATTATTATTATTTAACAGGCAAGCAGTTGAAATAACTGATATAAGCCAGTATCCTAGTTTTAAATGTGTAATTTTTAGGGTGATATCTGCACAAACCATAAAACAAATATGTTTTTAAATTGGTTTATGGTTTGTGCAGATATCACTTGGTTAAGACCCATATTCTCAATTATATTACTATAGGTGCTTACATATTTTTTACTATATTACATAAATACCGTAGTTATAAATTATAGGTCAAATCATTAAATAGCAAACATATCATAAAATAAGACTAAAATATATTAAAAGACCCAGAGAAATTACAGTCAGTCATTTTCAAAGGGCTAGCTTTCAACCAGTCAAATTTTTAAATGTTGAATAATAAGCAATCAGCCTAGGTATCCAACTAAATTTTGGTGTATAATTAACAGCCTAGTCCTCCAAATAATGGGCTAATTTTACCATCCGGCAATGGAATATAAATGAGATTATCATTAAAAAACCATTTGGGTATCTTACAAGTAAAATAATATTCACCTCACTAGTGTAAGTCTGGAGTATTCTGTAGGAGTCCTTCACTTGCTCTCTAAAGGATATTGCCTTCTTCAACAATGCATTGCACTCCCAACAAATGCTTATTGTTTTAAGCATATTGCAAAGCTACAAAAATAGTAATAATGATAACGAAACAACTTCTAAATATAAATTTTTAACCAATTAAAAAAAAGGTGTGTTTAACAAATTAGATATGATTTTTTATATGTATGTTATGCAGGGGTGATCCCACATAAATTTGCAGCAAAATCCCATGCCTGAATGAGGCAAAATATGGGATGAAGTTTTTAGTACAACTATAAAAATGAAATTAGGATAGTGGTATGTATTCTTTAATCCACTCAAAAACTTAAAAAATTTACTTTTCATAAAAACTTCATAGAATTAAGTCAGCACTTTAAACACAAACCAACAGCACTGCCTATTATTTATAAGTTTTATTCACGTGTGGACAGTTATTTTCATAAGTTAAATACCTTCTTGTAAACTTACAGGAACTTCATTTAAGCATTCCAAATAATACTGCTTTAATTTTTCATTAGTAACTTCACGTAAAGTTTGTTCAACACACAAGCATCCCATGCATAGCAGGTCCTTTGCTACTTCTATTTTGAATTCCATTATTATTGATTACTAATCGTGTGCTTTGAAAAAGGTAAAGGATTTATAAAACGCTCGTATTGTTCAAGTTACATTGTAGAGAGAGCGTCATTGTATCTTATTTTAAAATTTCCTTGCATATATTTCATTAAAAACGTTGCAGAAATAACTCGCTTTAGGTCCATGATTGTAAGTAAATTCGATATAATTTTTCCAAACGCCTATACATTTTTCTTAAAACAAAGAATATAGCAAAGCGAAAATGCTAGAGATAGATTAATAGTTATTAATTAAAATTGCGAATTTGAAGATTTAACTGGAGTATTGAGTGAAAGGTTAAAACGTGAACTTGAATAGCGATCACTGATCATGAAAAATTACATTTTTTTCGATATTACACAATACACACTACACTCCATAGAAACAAAATAAAACGGGCAAGGCAACGACGCGACACGACATTACGGATATTTTTTTTTTTTGGAGTTTATGGCCTGGCATCTAGACCTTTAGGCCAAGTCTTGAGTATTTTTATTCGGTTTATTATAATTTCCCCACTGTATTTTTGATGAATTTATATAGAGGCACGTAATAGGATCTATTTTTTAACATATCACTCAGGCGGCGGGAGGGATCTTGCACTGTCACTTGATTTTGCACTATGTCACTAATTTCACTGACAAGAATCAATCTGTCAAATGAAAAGCACTCACATGTCTCCGCTAGGAGTAAAGTATTCTGTGCTCACATGTAAATATGAAATGTTCGATATCACCAACAGAATTATTGCAGAAGGTGCAGTAACTGCTCTCCACTATGCCCAATCGAGCCAGGTGGGCCGGGACGGTGGAGTGACCAAAGCGCAGTCTATTTATAGTGGTAACAAAGTCCCGACTGGCCAATTTCAGTTTGTTATACCATGGTGCTACAGGTAGTTTTTCTTGAACAGTTCCATACCATTTACCCTTCTGTTCTTGATCTTGTTTCCAAAATTCGACCCATAAGCTATTGACCTGGTTGTCAATAGATTGATAACAGTCGGTCAAAGGTACTTTTACTATGGAGCTAACATCCAACATGTTGGTTCCATCACGTGCAATTTTATCTACTATCTCATTTCCTGTTATGCCCCTATGTGATGGAATCCACATGAAAGAGACCTGTATACCCTTTTTTGCATAACTAAATAACAATTTTTTAATATTATACAAAATATAGTTTTTTTTTAAAGTCAAATCTGAGATTAGTTAAACTTTGGACCATACTTAAACTGTCTGTTAAAATTAAAAAATTATTAAAACTATTTATATGTGCAATCCTCTTCAGGGCCTCGAGGGCCGCATATACCTCTGCAGTGAAAACACTGCATTTAGGGTCCAGAAGAAAACTTTGACCAAACTTGCATTGTGGATCATAAACGGCACTGCGCACAAAGAGCTCACTTTTGCTACCATCTGTATACAAAGTATAGTAGTTATTGTCGGAAATAAAACTTAATAATTCACAATTATTAAAAAAATTTTTGGTAACAATATTGGTCTCAAATATAATACAGGAATATGGGTATGTGTAGCATGTCCACTTTGATTGTTTAATTACATTTTTAAAATCTTCATTCATTTGCTGTACAATGAGAGGCAAAACTGGAAAATAACCTTGTAAAAGCTCACCTCCCGAAGTCTGCTGGACCGAGCATTGTAAAGGAAAAGGTACTATTTTTTTGAGAACATTATCATTACCAGATACCAGCTTTAGTAAATATCTCTCTATTAGCAGAAGTCTTCTAAGACACAGTGGCATTATTTTGGTTTCAACTTCCATAGCTCGTATGGGAGTTGAACACATAGCCCCAGAAATAATTCGCAGAGCTTTGTTTTGAATTATGTCTAGTTTTTTTACACAACTACTATTTGAGTAGGCTAAACAACTGTAGTCGAAATGGCTTCTGACTATAGATTTATATAGCATACTTAAAACTTTGGGGTCTGCACCCCAAGTCACACCAGCTAAACATCTTATAATATTTAAGCCCTTAAGAGAGTTAGTTATAATGTGATTGATGTGTAAATTAAAACAAAGTTTGTTATCAATGACAACACCCAGGAATTTATGGTTAGATACAACTGAAATTGGATGATTATTGTAGAGTATGCCATTAGAGGGAAAATCTTTACTAAAAATCATGGCCTTGCTTTTGTTAGGGTTAATCTGTAGAGCCAACTTGTCATTATAATATATGTACAATTGCTCTAAAGCATTATTTATACTATTTACAGCTCTATCTACATTATGGTCTGTACAATATATTACAAGATCATCCGCAAATTGTAAAATATTTACACCTTCTATATTTATAAAATTAAGAATTTGACTAGTGTATATGTTGTACAACAATGGAGATAATGTAGCCCCCTGCATTGTACCTTTGGAGACCCTTCTGGGACCATGGAGAATATTATTATGCCTTATATATATGAGCCGTGGTAGCTCAGAGAGCCGTGGTAGCTCAGATGATTAGCGCTCGCTGTAAGCTTCACAGTACTCGAGCAACTCGGGTTCGATCCCCGCCGGCACCAATGAAATTGTTAATTGCAATTTTAAGTGCTGATTTACCACGTGCTCGGCGGTGAAGGAAAACATCGTGAGGAAACCTGCATGTCTGAGAAATAAAAAAAAATATTTCGATGACATGTGAAGTTCGCCAACACGTATTGGGGCAGCGCGGTGGACATTTCCTTGCCCTAAAACCCTCTCAGAAATGAGAGGAGGCCTGTGCCCAGCAGTGGGACGTAAATAGGCTGCAACTTTACTTTACTTACTTTACTTTATATACAAAGTACTATCTATTAAAAAATTAAATAACCAATGGCAAAGTATGCCTGGTATACCAATGTCAGAAAGAACTTGAACCAAAATGCCAGGATCTACATTATCAAACGCACCTTCAATATCCAGAAAAACACAAACACTGGACTTATTATTATTATTGGCATATTTCAGATCTGACAAGAGAGAGATGAAGCTGTCAGCACAACTTCTGCCTCTCCGGAAGCCATATTGAACATGTGGAATGATGTTGTTCGCCTCTACATAACACTCAAGACGCATCTTTATCATGTTTTCATTAAGCTTTCCAACACAAGATGACAAAGATATAGGACGATATGAATTAGGATCTTCAGGTGGCTTGTCAAGCTTAAGTAGAGGGATTACACACTGTGTTTTCCAAGATTCAGGATTTTTTTTTAAGTGCCAAAGAGCATTAAGATTAGCTAATAGTTTCTTTTGTACGGACTAATTTAGGTTTTTGATCAAAATGTATGGACAATTATCTAAACCAGGGGTTGTGTTTCGTCTGGATTGTAAACTTGTACAAAACTCACTCCAAGTAAAGGGTTCTATGAGGAAACTGGACTTCTGAAGACTATTATTAATTTGAAAATAACTTTCTTGATTATCAATAACCCTACATCCATTTCTAGATAATTTGTCTAAAAGAGGGACTACAAATTCGTCTTTATATGTTCTATTATTGCATTTTATTCGTTTAAATAACTTGATGTATTTCCAAATAATACTAACAGGTGTAGTTCTGTTAAAAGTATTACAGATGTTAGCCCAACCATTGCGTTTATGTTCTGAAATAGTCTTTTTCTTAACAGCATTAAGTCTTTTGTAATTAATGTAATTATCAATGGTTGGATCTCTTCTGTACAGTTTTAAAGCTTCATAAGTTTTAATAACACTCTGTTCACATGTGTCACTCCACCAAGGTGCTGGAGGTTTGCAACGATAGTTGTTTGCTTTGACAAACTTTGGCACAGTATCTCTCCTAAGTGTATCAAGCCTTTCAATAAATTCATCATATGACTGTAATGGATTCTCATTATTAACTTCAAAATTAGAAAAAGCAGTTATAAACAGCTCATTGTATTTTGTCCAGTCTGTCTTGTTGTATAAGAATTTTTCAATGGGAGGATTAATTTGGTATCTATCAACTGACAATAAAACACGAGTAAGCGTAGGAAAATGATAGCTCCCCATACAATCATCATGCACCCACCATTCGCATAGTGGAGTGATTGAAGCACTACAAAAGCTGACATCAATAGCCGATGGATTTCGGTTAGGATAATTAATAGTAGTGAAGCTACCATTGTTGAGGACACATAGATCGAATTCATCAATTAAATCGTATAACTGATGACCCCGACTTTTCGTGGTCATACACCCAAATGCCACATGGTGAGCGTTGAAATCTCCAGCCACATATATTGGCTTAGGCAAATCTCTAATTATATCACGCAGTTTACTTATTCTGAAGTTACCATTCGATGGAGGGCAGTATACACATAAAATCGTTAATTGTTTACCACTTACATATAACAATAATGCCACAGTCTGAATGTCTTGGTAAAATCTGGTTTGAATAATATTATATTTAAAATACGGTTTGATCAAAATTGCTACTCCACCATGCTCATTTTGGGCATTATGATAGTGGAAATTATATCCCGAAATGTTAAAATGCTGAGTATCTTTCAGCCAAGTTTCATTGAGTAGACAGATATCAACATTTTGTTCATCTAAAAATTTAGACAATAAGGATTTTTTCCTATGTATACTTTGAATATTGTACTGAGCTATACATAACTGCTGTATGTTCTGTACTGTACTGTCCATTATTGTGACAGATTTTTTAAAAGTAAGTCTTTAATGAACAGTGTAGTCACAGGTTCATTATCTGTTTTATTACCTAATTCGACTAAAGTTTGGACCATTGCCATCAAAATATTCTTATTGTTTGCAATTTGAGCCTTAAGTTGAGTTTGGTTCAAGTTGGGTTCAGGCACTGTTTTATTTACATTATTTACAATTTTTACATTTTAATTTAATTTATGTACATTTTGGTTTATTGATGGTAGGGTCTTAACAATGCTGCTCGACTGTGCAGGTAAAGACGGAAAATCAGATGACTTAATTGTATTAGCTACAGAGGCATAAGTAATTTTACCCTTTTT